TTTAAGTTTAAATGTTTCAAGTACATCTTATAACAAAGGTAAGGGACTGACATGATTGCATTGCATCCATTGGAGATTTCACACTTTTGCTTTATGATACTCTAATGTTTATTGGGAGTCACTCTTGATAATTTAATGATCTTTTGATGAAATGAAATGAATGGTTTTGTTTAATTAAAAATGAAAAATTTTATATGAGTTTTGGGACGTTATATTTTATGGATGATGTATGTCATTTTGAGTTAGAAAATCTAGATCTTGTGAGTTTTGGGATGACTTAATAGATAAAGTTAGAAACTTTATCCATTTGGACATTTTTAGAGCCCAGATCTGAAAGATGGAGTTCTAACTTAATGGATTAAGTCGAATTACCTTGTGAAATAAGCCTGAGTGCAGGTTGCTTTTAGTTGACACGATGCTCTTTTAGGATTTTCAGGAGCGTGTTTGTTTTAGCTCGAAAACCCGATTGTTTTGTCCTTTAGTGGGTGGGGAAGGGCAAGAGAAAGCATGTCACGCTTTTGACCAAAATATTGGCTTGTTGACTTTTTGACTAAGTTTGACCTTAGGTCAAACTTTTGGGTTCTAGGTCATAATTGAGGTTGACCTTTGATTTAATGTCTAGGTGGTGTGTGAGACCGACCTGTTAGTATTTGTGTGTGGTGGTGGTTTTTCAGTCTATGTGTGATGTGAGTTTTCTCACTATATTAATAATGTCCTGTTTGTTGTGATTGGACTGCATCTTTAGTTGTCCTTGATTATTTTTGTATGTTAATATGTTGTAATCGAGTTGTTGATGACTTAGGATCACTAAGGACCTGTACATGTTGTATTTATGTCGCAGATAACTCGGGGTCGTCGAGGACCCACATACACTGCATTTAAGTCGATGTGGACTTGGGGTTGAACCGACCCATTTTTATATATGTTTAGTTGTGCTGTGTTGTATGATAAATTTCAAGGAACTCACTAAACTTTGACTTATAGTTGTGGATTTGAATGTTTCTGGTACTTCTCATGATTGAGGAAATACAAATGCATGACTGTACACTCTTGTCACATCTTCAACATTTTATGAATTCATGTTCATTTGGTACATGATTTGGATGATTGTCTTTTGGAACATATAATTTTATCAACTTGGTTTTATGATGATGACTTTTTAACTTAATTAAAATAAAAAAAAAGTTATTGTAAAGTTTGGACGTTACAGTTATTATTCGGGTGGTAACATTATGTTTTGATTGTAAGGGTAGTATCGTTTAAAATAATATTGATGTTAGTATTTTAATGATACGTTATGTTGTTCTACTTGGTGCGTAGCTGACCCATATTGTTGGGAACCGGTCCGGTTTAATGTTGTCTTACCAGGCTGGTTAAGCTTCTAAGATGTTGACCGTATGACGGGTAGTGTATAGGCTTATCCCATACACCATTAATGAAAAAGTAGAGTAACCTAATCGTGTATTGGAAAAATCGATGATAAGTTAACATAATTAGTTTTGTTTTTGTTTTTAGTTAGAGTATCTTACACTCTGCTTTTAGAAAACTGTTGTATGTTGTATGTACTAGTTGAACTTTCATATTACACTTTGTAAGATAAATTATATATCAAGCATATTATACTTTTGATTTTAACAAAGAAAAAATATATAAATGGAAGCATTAATTGTAGTCCTTGGATACTGAATTTCTGTATGTCTTTGGAGATCTCATTCCTTTGCTTGTAAACTAAGGTATCACTTTGAGTTCAACACAAGATCTGAATAATTTATTTTAACCCTAAAACTTTATATAAAATCATTGTTAAGTACTCACCTATTTATTTATGTTTAGTATTTGGGATAATAATTTAGGAAGATGGTGAAATTTTATTTTTATTTACATATAGTCATTTTTTTTACATATATCATATATTATTATATTTGTTTTTAGTATCATTAAATATCATTATGAATGATTATTACTTGTCCTAAGGTAATTTGAACATCAAAAACAAGTTCATTGAAAAATTATTTATTTTTAGAACATTATGCTTTATTTTAACTTTATTAAAAACTTTATGAATTTATAAATATTTATTTTTATAAATAATTATTTTATAAGTCTATTTTTAATTTCCTTCTTATCCGAATCAAAGGCAATTAAACATTCAAATATGAGTTTTAATTTTATTAGAATATTCTTTAAATTTTCACAAGCAAAAATGTCAAGTGGAATATCAAGAACTTGAAACTACATTTAAGAGAGACATAAAATTCTAAGAGAGAAAATAAAATTGTTCTTAAACTTTTGAGATTTTAAAAGAGTGGATGTTTAATGTTCTAAGAAGGGAAAAAGATTGCTATTAAACTTTTGTGTATCATTCAAAGGTTTGTGCAAGTTTTGATGTTCCTATCTAGTATCCATTTGACATTTTCGTTTGTGATTTGTGAAAGAGTGAAAAAGAATGTAATTCCAAATGAAGATAATATTTGAACAATCATTAGAATAACTTGTATTTGTTATAATTAAGATGGGGTGGCCGGTAAGTCATAAGTTAATGCTTAATTATTTGTTATGAGAATAAGAAATAGAGTTCCACAAAACGAAATTTTATAAATATGAATATTTTTCAAATTAATAGAACTTTTAATAAAATTATAATGAAAAACTAAGAAAGGTTAATCAATTATGCGGTTGTATTTCTTTTCATATTTAGTCTTTTTTTTGTGTATACGAGTATTAATACACTCGTTTTTGTTGTTCAAAATATGTTTTTATGATGTGCAATATTCGATCTTAATGATATTTTTTTAAGTATAAAAAATAAATTAACTGATAAATGATATAAAAAATAAAACAAAATAAATAAATATAAAGGAAAACAAAATTTATGTCGTTCAAAAAGAAAATCGCTATCAATTAATTATGTCATCTGTAATAGATTTTTTTAACGGGTCGTGTGTAATATCTGGTATGAATTAGTAGTAATATACAAATAAAAACTATTCATGAAATTCGCCATCCACATTGGAAATGATAAAGTGATTAATTATTATTATTATTATTATTATTATTATTATTATTATTATTATTAGAGAAAATTACAAATTTAGCCAAATATACTAATTACTTTGTGGAAAATAGCAAAAAAAACATAAATTACAAAATTAGCCCTTAAATCGCAGATGGATTAAGTCCATCTGCGATTTCGCATTTCCATCTGCGAATTTGTGTATTCCATCTATGATTTCGTAGAGAATTACTATAAAAACGTTTTTTTTTTTTTCATTTTTCATTATATTTTTTTAGAAAAACTCTCTCTCCCACCAGTTAGAAGGCAAACCAAATATTTATATATTTTTTTAGAGAGGTTTTAAACAATTTTTCCAAAGAAATAACAACAAAAATGATAATTTCTTATATAATAAGGTTGTTTCGTAGTTAAACCCTATCAATTTCGAAGTTAAAAAAAAGCCATAAAATCGCAGGTGAAAACGAAAGGAAATCGCAGATGGACTATGTCCATCTGCGATTTTATGCTGGAAAAAGAGTATATATACAGCGAAACAAAAATTAAAAATAAAAATAAAAACCATCTGCGAGCCATTTGTACGGTCGCAGATGAGAAGGCGAAATCGCAGATGGCTTATACCCATCTGCGATTTTAGTGGCTAAAAATGCAATTTTGATTTTTTTTGGCTATTTTTCACAAAGTAATTAGTGTATTTGGCTAAATTTGCAATTTTCTATTATTATTATATTATTATTATTATTATTATTATTTCTTCTCTCTCCTCCTCTGGTCCCAACACTTGTGTACATAATAAGAGCTAGAGAAAGAATGACAGAAAACGCTAGCATTTGCGAAATCTATTAGAATAGCTATTTAAATAATTTCAAAATCTCATTGATCACTACAAACTTTTTATTTAATGTCACACATTCCATGTTTAAGCCATAGATAGGATAATTATCGTAGAAAAAAACCACAGAAAAAAAATTATGACAATTTGTATTCGTATTTCGTACAAAAACAACGAGCTTCTATTTAGATTTGGAAATAGAATGACTTTGGATATTTTTTGATTCAGTGGATAAGAGTATGAGTTAATTATTTAAGATCATGCAGGTTATGAAGCAGATTTGAACAGATTTTTAAATAAAACAAATGTTTATTTAAAAAATGTATTACGTATTCAAGGACTTTCGATTGGAGATAAAAACCACAATTGCATCAATTTTTGATTGGTTCATGATTGTCAATTGACTACAAGGATAGGGAAATAGCAATTGCAAACATTCTTCTGATCGATATATGATTTTATTGATTTATAAATGACACTGACAATTACTTGATGAAATAAAAATGAAATGCATCATGCTTCTTGGCCGACAATTCACAGTCTGGAAGTCGACTCTTCGAGTCCTTGGTAACATAGTTTGACCTTTGTACTTTCAATTGGAACTAAAAATAAACATTTTGGTGTATAAAATATAAAGGTATAATTCTAAAATTTATATGAGACATTTTTATAAACGAAACGGATTGTTGATGCTCAAATGTCGACTTTAAAGATGTGAACCTTCATTGAGGACCAAAACACGACCTTTGTCCCACGACATGCCTTTTACCGGTCCATAAAGATTGGTGGAGTTATTTGGGCCTCTACAGATGAGGATGTAGATGAAGAGATTATTACCAAAATTAATGTTTTCAAAAAGGATATAATAAAAAGGATTCAAAACCAAATTTTATATATAATTGTGTGATTGAGGAAATTATGTCTAAGACTTTAGGACATGCCTCTGTCCAGTCCATAAAGATTGGTGGAGTTATTTGGGTCTCTATGAATGAGGATGTAGATGAAGATATTATTATAGAGTTAGCGCCTAGTAATCTTACTTCACAATCAATCATTCCTTCCATAGTACTTCCCATGCTAAAGCATAAAATGTATCTGTCAATAAAATCATAATGAACAAATTGATGCCCAAGCATATTTCTTACGCAAAGGATTGAACTTCTTTAAAAAAATACATCATGTGATAACAACAATTCAAATCACTCGTCACCATCAAGAAAATCTCAACTTCTCTATATCAATCTAATTTTAAAAAATTCTGAAGTAGGTGCTGCGTTTTCTTTTTCAAAAATCCACTACTCACCTCATAGCTTCCCCAACCAAGTCCAACAACTTTATGGACCATTGTATCACATGAGACATTACTTTAGGAAGAAACCTTGGCTAAATTGCTCTAGCGTTATTCTAACAAAAATCAAATAAATGATTGAAGTTGTTGATGAAATAAATTCCAGAGTAACAATCAGAATCAAAGCTGAAGAGATTGCAAATAGTAGTAATAATTACAAGCCAATAAGAACAAATTCAGAAGTTAGGAGAAATGTAATATCACCTTTCCTTGGCAACCTATTTTACAAGCAATTCATCTCTAGAAAGAGTCTTCACCAAAAATTGATCTTGAGACTCAATCCATTGTTGACATATACATCCTACTCCGAAGCTTGAATAGATTTATAAGATGAATAAGTAGATTCTCAGGGAAAATGAGAAACTAGTGGATCCTCCATTTCCAACGGAGGAAGTTCTCATAACATCCACAAAAGTGTCTATTATTTCCACACAACCCTTGGTTAAAGGCGAATGTTGGATCAATGAATATACTTTTGCCTTGTGTATTTGTCATACTAAGAATAAAAAGAAAAAATGACAAATCCTTACCCCAATAGATCCCTCTGAAGTTCCTTATGAAACATCGGACGTAGCCTTGTCCAAAAAAACACATTAATAAAACATTTTATGTTGCTTGAGAATTTTGTGTTAAGAAAATATTTGTACCCAAATATGGGTGCCGAAAATAACTCTCTAAATTCTTACATGAACTATGCAAAAAATAGTGTGATAAAGAATGGTTCATCGACAATACTTGCTCTTTGCGTATGACAGACAAATTGAAATATTTGCATGATTACCAAAAGATAAATGAAAGTGGTTATGTCATGTTTGGGAAAGATTCAAATTGGTTTATCAAAGATTACAGCGTGCTCACCAATGGAAAATTCACTATCCCAAAAGTTACCAATGTTGTCGGACTCAAGCATACTCTAATGAATGTTGAGTAGGTATCTGATGCAAACATCATGTCAAATTTAATGATATTTATATTTGTCCTCACTAAGAACTGTGATGAATGTTTGATCACTTCATGCCGCAATTGAAATATGTATCCATTGGACATAAATCTTATGGTTAGGAAGCTGCAGTTGTGTTTTCTATCTAAAACAGTTCCCTGATGTGAGTTAGTTATGACATCAGAGACTTGCTCATCTTCACTTCGAGTATATAAACAACATGATCATAGATCAACTGGTAAGATGAATGCCTATGTTGATGTTTTATAGCAAAACATTATGTGCTTCATACGTATGTAGGGAAGCAAAGAAAGAGAAGTCATTAATTGGTCGTTGAATCCACCATCAGAGATTCACTTCAACTTCTTCATATTGATCTCTACATACCTTTTTTTCATTGAAAGTATTTCTAAAAAGAGATATCTTGTGGAAAAAATTTCATACTACACATCAACCAAAAGATCAAAATAAAAACAAAGAATATCAAACAATGACTAGAACAGAAAAAGATTAATCAAAAACAATTTTTGATTACAAAAATCTCTCACAAATAAAGAGTGTACAAAGCGATAGATTACATAAAACCCTAGTGTAACTTATATACAAGGTTGATGAATATTCTTGATTCAAATCCCTATATATCAGGGATTACAATAACTAAGATAACTACTATATATTAAACATATATACTATGCAAAACAAATCTTATCACAAAGATAACGGATCATGATACTTAACTAGCAAGTATTATATCACACTGTCTTTTGAAGCCTGATCAGCGTCATTACACTGATGATGTGTTCAGATTGATAAAGGTTTTACACATCATATTATAAGGTTTGACCTTACAATCTACCCATTCTGATTATCTCAAAACCTATTCCAAAATATCTTTAAAAAAAGGACCTTTTCAGCATCTAAGATGATTTCTGGCTTAATCCATTTGTATTCATCACAAGCTAATTCATCTATTCTTTTGTCAAGTTCATAAGAGATAATTCAGTGATAGAAATCAACTTCTAGTTTTCCTTTACATGCCAGTCTCGGATGAAAGAAATGTTTAGTAGGAGCTTTGTGAACATCAAGATACCGTTGGAAGCACATATGGTCATTGTTATCAACATAGACCATTCCATGTTCAGGTTCTCTGATAAAAAGATGTTGAACACACTCAACATTTGTTGGAAGAGAGTTATTGATGTAGAAAGTAAAATAAGGACCAGGAACTTTGAATGACGGGACCTTCTTCTAGATCTTGCAGAAAATGAAGTTGTAGGCATGGAAGATGCATAAGGTAGATAGACTAAATCCAGATTTCTGACTTTGTTGAACATTAAGATGATGTCAAGATTTAACTCTTTTGCATGAATACCCTTATGATTTTTTGAAGATAGATTGAATCTCCAACCATTCACTGTATCAATATTTGACAAGGTCAGACACATGAATCTTTTAGGATATTCTCCTTTGAATCTTTTCTCATTAAGTTCACTATTGGAATTTGTTATCCCTTAGGTTTGGAACATCTAACTTTTACAATCGGATCTAGAGAGAATATTCTATTTAGGACATCATAATATTTAGATATTCCAATCTTTCTGAGAATGCATTCAACTCTCTTTCTCTTGGCTACTTTAGTATTAAAAAGTTGAATTATGGTAGTGGGATCTGACATTGAAGCTTTAACAAGAGCAGCTTTTGGAGCTAATAAGGAATAAGTCTTCCTAAGACGAATGGCTTCTCGAGTAGCAGCATTATGCTCAAGAGCAAGATCTCTGGCATCTTTTATATACATTCCCCATTCAGTAAAGACTTTAGAAAGATTTAGGACCTTGGGACCTTTTCTGCGTTTAACAGTGTCAGAGGATGAGGCTGCAGACTCGTGCTTTTTAGACAGAGGCAGATCATCATCTGAATTAATGTCGTTGTAGACATGTTTCTCCCCCTGAGCCTAAAAATCCCCCTCGAGATGAGACTCCCCCCGAATCTGATACTTAAATGAGAGTATTATTGAGAGAGGAAAAACATGTGTTTGAACAGAATCACCAAGGAAGTCAAGTTCGAGAAATCATTGTTCATCTTTAGGATGGATTGAACTTTCATCAATGTTCGCCAAAATTTCTTCACACGCAGTTTTTAACAAGCCAACTTGAAGAGTTATATTAGTATTCTCCCCCTTTTTTACATTATCAGAATCCTATGGAGAGACATCCATTGTAGGAGGATTATTGTCATCCTTTAGTGGCTCTGGATCATTAGATGGTGGATGAGAAGGAGGTGGTAGATTACTTGATGATGTCCTAGTAGAGGTAGATGGAAGAATAGCTTCTTTAATGGCAGTAATATCACGTTTGATATCTGTAACATATGCTTCCAATCAATTCTGATGTTCAACGAATACGTTAGTTAGAAAAATAAAAGATCGAAGTGCTGCAAGGATTTGTGAGGGAATATTATACAGGTATGGTTCCTGACGCTGAAGCTCCCCCTCAGCATGAACAAGAGGTTGAGAGTTGTGATCAGAATGAGTTTTATAAGAAATTGAACTTGGGGAGCTTTCATTGGTTTCAAAACCAACATTTTGAATAAGAGAAGTAAGCTTGATAAGTTCAATATGCTGTGAAGACGAGGAGGATGATTGAAATCATTTATGAGTGTTGACTGGTGGAGAAGAGTGAACATCAGTGGAAGTAGAAACATCAGGGCATCGTAATGTAGGCTTTATCATAATAACTAATGGAGATTCAAAATCCTCAGTATCTGAAATTGTTTCTTCATCATCATCACAATCATCATATTCTTTTTTTAGAACTTCAACATACACAGATTCATCAGAATCATTTAAAGTTACTTGCATGCCAAGATGGCTGTATGGGAGAATATTAGCTTCGTATGGTTACAGAATCCGGTAATCCATAGATGTTGAGATAGGAGGATCTCCTGGAGTAGGCGTTGCATTGAACAAATTTGAAGGCATGGTGGACAATGCAATAGAATCATCAATGTGACCATTATAACCAGTACCAACATGATCAAGAATAAGTGAAATCCAACACGGATAAGGGACATAAGAAGATCTCTTTTTCCTTGAGATGGTCACCACAAGCTAATCAAAGATAAGTTTTGAAAATTCCAAATGCTTGTTCTTCACCATTGCATATAGAATGAGCATCTCAAATAAATTTAACTATTCAAGATGTCCAACTTTATGCCCTAGGAACTTTCCAATCACACCATACAAGTATTTCCACCCAGCAGGAAGACATTGACGTAAGATCAGATTCTTTCGTTTTCCTTGCCTTGTTGAATTGTAGCCTAATTTCATGATGGCTTTCCTACATTGTTTTTCTGATGGGAGATTTGAAAAATTAATCAAGTTGGGAAGACGAAGAGCATCCCTAATAGCCGATATAGATAAACGAATCTCATGATGCCCATCACCAATTGTTCCTTGAATTAAATCAGATTGATCATCATATGTGCAAGTAAAAAGTAGCACTCACAGATGTGATTAGGTAGGAGCAAGCCAGCAGTATCAACGATAGCATATCTTAGAGGAAGGCTTTTCAAGACTTGAATAAAAGCCTCCAATCCACTGTTTCGATGTTTGAAAAGAATATCTTCATATACTGCAACATTTATGGGGTTGACCACAATAGGAGTTGTTGGTGTGTTATCATCCATAATAGCACCATCAATGGGAATGTAAATGAAAAGTGATGAAGACATAATTTCAACATAGGGTTTTTTGAGGGTTTTGCTGATAAGAGTTCTTGGGAGATAGTGACTATAAACCCTTTAATAAGAAAATTTTCTTCCTTTTTTATGTATGGAAAGATTATGATGATCATGTGACATGATCAATAATTATGAATAAGAAAAGTTTTTCGTAATCTTGAAACCCAATAACTGACTCTTCTATGTTAATCCAAAAAGTTATCGTTGCCCAAAGTTTCTAAAGACACGTTGCATAGTCAAAATCAGTGGGAGCACATTTTCACATCAGAATAAGGTGGGTTAAATTTTGTCTCATTCATTGTATGGTGTAATTGTCACAACTGGTATTTTAGCCAGGAAGTTCTGTGATCATGTAAACGTCTCTCTTCTCCCTCTCTTTTATTTCTTCGACCGAGAGTAAGAAACAAACACACACATACCTTCAAACTCATACTTCAAACACTCTCCAAGAACTCCTCCCTCTCCTCCATATTTTCGCAAGTTTGTGAGTGTCTTCAAGAGATTTTCATTTAAATCATCAATCTTTGGTAAGTCCTTATATATCCAAGTACTACAACTTCATTTTTATGTTAGAACACTCCTTCTAAACAAATGCTTATGATCATACTCTTAGAAACTTCCTAAGTTCGAAAATCACTCAAGAAAGCTTGCTAAAGGCCAAGATCTCTCCATTTCTTCTTCAAAACCGAGAACAACAAGCAAAGGTGAGTTCATACCCCCCTTGTTTTCGGTTTTTACATGTTTTTGGGGGAGAATACAAGTATTTATGTGTAGATCTATGTATTTACGCATGTTATGTGTGATTTTCTTGGTTTATGTTGTGATTATGTGATAGGTCTAGATGAATCTCGAATACTCTAACAAAAATGGGCGAGATCCATAAACTAAAAACACTCTAAACATCATACTACAAGGATAAAAGTGTTATGCATGCCTAAGATGTGAAAAACAAAACAAAGATCTTGTATAAGGATCATTTTTGACAAGTAAACAAAAGGTTTGGGAAATTTTGCCACTTACGGTTTTTATAAGGATCAAAAAGGTCATATTTGCATAAAATTGAGTTTTTATGATAATCACACTTTTCAAAGGACCAAAAGGGTAAATTTTAGCATAATGGGCTTAAAAATTGGGCCTTACGGTTTATGGGCCCAGAATGCGAAAAATATGAGTTTTTAGGGGTTAATATGTTATTTAATCAAAACTTGAGCCAAAAACAATAAATGAACAAAGATATATGCTAAAAATGACACCTATTTCTAAATTGGGCCAAAAAATGTAAAGTTTTCGGAAATTGGGCCAAAATGTAAATTTCTACAAAATAAGGACTGGAAATGTCAATAAACGTATTTTGGACCGAAATTGTGAAATAAATTTATAATTGGGCCGAGAATGCTAAGTTTGATGGTCTAATGGGCTAAAAATGTTATTTTCACCAAAAAGGACCAAAAATTGTCATTTTAGTTAAACAAGGGTTAAAAATAAAATATTCTGTGAAAAAGGGGCTGAAATCGCCAAATATGTATTTTTGGGCCAAATATGTAAATTATCAAACAACTGGACCGAAGATATAAATATTTATAACCTAAGGGTTAAAACGGTATATTTTTTTTATAAACTAAAAATAACGTTATAACCAAATATTTGACTTTTATAACAATATGGGTAAACGTTTCAATCAAAAGAATCCATACTATAACAAACAAAGGAAATACAATTGTACGAATATTGGGCCTAGTACTTGCTATACATGCTTATTGGGCCTTCGTGATCCATTTGCATGTTTATTGGGCCCAGTATATTCATTACATGTCTATTGGGCCTTAGTGACCCAATTAAATGCTTAATGGGCCTAAATTAGTCTTTACATGTCATTGGGCCTTAGTGGCCCATTTACATGCTAATTTAGCCTGGAATAATTCATCGTATGCATAATGGGCTTTAATGTGTCCATGGCATATTTAACAAGCCTGGAAATAACTTATATGTCTAATGGGCCATATTGTCTTTTCTTCATGTTTGTTGGGCCTTATACTTTCATATTCATGTATCATGTGGTGTTCGAAATTCTAAATACATATAACGTATACATATTCATGTGGCAATAATTGGAATCTAGTGAGACTTGTCGGTTGACTCCATTAAGTGTATGGTCGTAGCCTGTAGTTATAATCAGAGTCTCCTGGAGGGAAAGCGAGAGTTTGTGTATAGATCTATACGGGGGTGACTCCCCCACACCTGAGTTGTTCGCTACAGTTAGACTAGGCCAGTCTAGGGTGACAAAACCTTGATAAAAAATCTGGCGTTTGGAAAAATGCCAAGACAGGCAAGTCAGTCACTATCATGCATGGTTATAACGACTCATATATAGATCCATTACCATCACGACATTACGGAAATTAAAACTCGTAAGTCATATTGATACAAAACAAATCATACAATAGTGCAAGGACCGCAACATTTTTATAAATCAGAAAATATCGGAATTTCTGGGGAAATACTATCATTCAAATACCATCTACTTACAACAGAAAGAATACAAAGAAATTTGAACTGCATACTTATACATGTTACTACTATGAAATTCACACATGCATCTATACACGATTTTCACATCATTTTTCAGACTTTTTACAGAAAATATCGGATTTTATGGGTTTTACAAACAATACAATGACTTTCATTCAAACATGCTTATGAACTCACCAACATTATATATGTTGACCGTTTTCAAAATAACTTGTATTCTTAGGTAACCGTTAAGCAGAAGAACGTTCAAGTCCGTGGATTTATTTTGTGTAATGTCACTCATCGTACTATTAATATTTTGGAATTATGTAACCTAAGACAATGTACTTGATGTGAACAATACCAGTTGTAATATGTAATGTTTGGTGATGATTGTGTTATGTTTCATGTATATTCATTGTGATGATATTTCAATTAATAGTCACACGAGCCCTCGGATGTTTCCGCCGTCTGGTTCGGGGGTGTGACAGTCTTACATGATTTTTTTTGACATGTAAAGGTTTGATGCTCACACACACTGTATGTTTTATTATAACATTTCTTCGATATCGGTTTGTTTGTCATGCCTCACACAGTATATGGGATAATACAACATGTTCCTTGACATCAAAGAAACGTATTTCTCACTCACTATCAGTGTCATAGCAAGATCATTAACATGGGGAAAGATGTTTTAATAATTGCATGTTTCAATAATTGTTGGTTTTATAGTTAATCATGAACATCATGGAAGAGGATAGTGAAAGTCTTGGAATTAACCCATTGTCAACTCATAATAATACCATATCATATCTCAGCTAGGAGGTCAAGGACAAGAAAAACTCTTTGTCATTTAAGGACCTTACAAGTAACTCTTAATGTGGTGACAATACAGTTAGGGTAAGCCATTGGGTCATACACAGTGATTCAGCAGAACACTTGACTTGATACATACGGAAACATGTTTCCAAGGACATGGTCCAGAGATTAAATAATATGAAAAGAAAACACTCAATCCTTATAGCAGAATTTTTTTAAAAAGGACCAAGTAGTCTCACCTTGAAGATAGGAATGATGCCAAATCATCAATGTGATTGAGTGACTCAATGCAATCTCAGCAAATGGTCTTGCTGATGAGATAGTTAGAGAGATTTAGACACATTCATCAGAATGATTCTAGGGACATTTTAGTGTCATAGTTTGATACTAGAATCGAAAGATTCTCCATCAATTCCTTGAGTTAGTGTAAAAATCAAAAATAAAAGGAAACAATCAACAAGGAAATAGTCAAAAAGAGAAACATGCAGCTTTTTTAGTAAGATCATAAAAAATAACGATTTGGTGTATCTTTTGAATTGAATGCTAATAAAGTACTTCATATTTCCAAGATATATGTCAGACAAAGTTCTTCTATAAAAGAGAGACATGTTAGCAAGCATTTCACACATTCAAACTCATAAAGAATTAAACAAAAGAGATGAAGAGATAAATATTCTTCCATAATTCTGATGGATTCCAAGCTTCATATCCATTATCGCGAAGAATGATCCGGTGGAACACAGTCTTTGTTACCAACGGGTTAAAAGGATGTAATCTTTTTAACTTTTGAGTTACACAAATCAACAAGCAAATACTTAAGGAAACAAAGGATTATGAACCATGAGAAAAAAAAAAGACAAAAATATTATAAAACTAACGAGTTCTTGAATCTCTAATGGAAGATGGAGAAAAGGTGGATAGCATCTCTGAAAAATAGATGTGCCACCTATGTAATCTTCACATGACTCCATGGCAACAGGTGCTAGGTTCTGAAAATAAAAATAGAGGAGACATAAGGGCGGAACCAAATCGATTTGAAACTATGCCTGCCTCTTATGAGGTGAAGGTTTGTATCGATCGGATACACTTCAAGTATAAAGAACAAAAGTAAAATTAATCTAAGAAAAACGAAGAACATAAAGTAAATAACACAGAGAGTTCTCTAAATTGTTCTTTCACAAAGAAAAGGTTTTGTCTTCGCCAAGAAGATGTTTTGTCACAAAGACGATTACGGCACCAAGCCATGTTAACATCAGGGTTTCACCCTAAGGTTCAATATATACTAATATATACAGGTATATCCCTTGATTGAAGGGATTGTATCTTATCTATTCTAAGAACCGATATACATAACAAAGATATTTGATCTTTAATCTATTCTATACTTATCTATATCATTACCTAATATACAAAAGATTACATAGAATAAACTATACTAAGAGTTGATGTTGATAGGCTTGATACGCTGGCGCTGATGGAGATGTAGACACCGACGATGACAGACAGCGTGTAGGAGTGTTTACCTCATCAGATCATAAGGTGTGACCTTACAATATCTCCCTATATGATGATGTCAAAACTAATCTTCGATGAATTGTTTTTAGCTCAAGGTCCCCCCTAAGAGTAAGATTGAAATTTTGAAGTTCTTCAGCTTTTAACGAGTG